TTATTTTCTTAAAATAATGAGAAAATTTCTCAATAGTTTACCTTTTTTTTCAAAATTATGAGTAACTTTTAGAATATTTTCACTTATTTTCTTAAAATAATGAGAAACTCTCAATATTTTCACTTATTTTCTTAAAATAATGAGAAACTTTCTCAATATTTTCACTTATTTTCTCAAAATAATGAGAACATTTCTCAATACTTTCCCTTTTTTTTCAAAATTATGAGAAACTTTTAGAATATTTTCACTTATTTTCTCAAAATAATGAGAAACTTTCTCAATATTTTCCCTTTTTTCAAAATAATGAAAAACTTTCTTAATATTTTCACAAATTTTTTAAAAATAATGAGAAACTTTAAGAATATTTTCACTTATTTTCTCAAAATTATGAGAAACTTTAAGAATATTTTCACTTATTTTCTCAAAATAATGAGAAACTTTCTCAACATTTTCACTTATTTTCTTAAAATAATGAGAAAATTTCTCAATATTTTCCCTTTTTTTTCAAAATTATGAGAAACTTTTAGAATATTTTCACTTATTTTCTCAAAATAATGAGAAACTTTCTCAATATTTTCCCTTTTTTTCAAAATTATGAGAAACTTTTAGAATATTTTCACTCATTTTCTCAAAATAATGAGAAACTTTCTCAATATTTTCACTTAGTTTCTCAAAGTCATTACTTACAGAATATTTTTTTCTTTCCTGTCACATTGGCACCAATGGGCTTCCATACCATACAATGTACACTGTAAACAGATTACACTGAAAACTTTAAGTTACACAAACTCAATTTTCAGTCCATAAAGATTCAATAAGGATTTTTGTAACTTAAATTTAGTTAGTTTTACTTAAAATGTTCAATGTAATCAGTTTCAAAATGAATTTATCTGGTTTTACAGCGTAAACAATAATCCTCATAGATTTTACAATATAAGCCAGATCTCGTCTGTTTACATATAAAGTATCAGAACTGACATTTAAAAGATAAGACAGAAACAAATAAGAGTCCAAAAGTACACGTGGACCCAAAAAAGTGCCCTAAATCAGTACAACCCTAAAAACAACATTTGGGCGTTTTTTAAAATCCTTTATAACGACACATTTTCACTAATAGTTTATCTTTAAGGATGATATTGATGCCGAATTGACCGTCAGACTGTGGACACATGACGGCCTTCAGCTCGTGTTTTAGAGTCACGTGTTTTTATGGACACGTTAGGAAGCGTTAAAATATGATATTCCTTAAAGGGAGTTTGGTGCAGGGAGCTTAAAGCTGAATTAAAACTAATTATAACGCTTTGTCACCCCTACAGAAACACTAGGAAGTGTGATAATGTTGTCTGACATTGACTGCTGTTAGTTACTAGTTTGATTAATGGTTTAATAATGTGTGTATTGATTAGCAATGCTAGCTGATCAGGCTGATTATAACAGCAGTATGCTATAAACAGTTGCCCTTTGTGAGTGTTCTTAAGCTACTTTCCTGATTAAACATGACGTGATTGTTATTAATGGTGTCATCAGTCATCTATTATCGATTTCTGAGCTACTGGACACTGAGAGTCAACAATATCTAACCACTGTGTGCTATTAGGTTGTGATTCTACATGTATTTATAAGGATCGGCCCTTTTAATCCTCACATAAAGGATCATAGAGTTAGAGGAGTATTAGTTGTGATGTTGTGGCCAGAAATAAGGGTAAATAGGGGTAAATAATGGTAAATAAGGGTAAAGATTTCCTGTGGGTCTGTTAAAAGCTGGTGGGCCTTGTTTAAATATTTACTTTAGGAGGAGCTGCTGCAGTGACCCCACATTCCTCAAACACATCACACATCACACACACACATCATCTTAAAAACCAAAAAAAAAACCAACTGAACCAACAAGGACAAAACTGTACAAATGTATTTTGACCAGAGTGTCTAAATGATGTTTCACGACACAGCTAGGAATAACAGTGTTTTAAATGCAGGCAATATAATTCCAGTTTGTTCCATTGACTCATTTTCTTTAAGTTCTTTATAAATATGTTATCATTATAATGCTTTTTGGATTTTTTTACATTTTTTTTGTTAGATTTTGATTTTTGTCACATAAAAATAAAAATGAATTAGCTACAATTTTGATAATCAAATTAATTATTAATTATTTTTATCACACATCAGCTGTTTTGACAGGTGATGTAATAATGTGCTTGTAAAATGTTGAGAAACCTCGTGTTTATCATGTGGTTTGATCACATGTTTACAGTCACATGAACTGAGGGCAATAGTTTCTTTATTAGTGCTGTGCCTCCTATAGCCTTTAGGTTTTATAGTCGGGGGATAAATGAGAGGCAGGTTGTTAGTAGAGATTAATTCACTGAGTGTGTTTTAAAAGTGATCTGACTTTAAGAAATATATAATGGTTGAAGTCATGGTTATAACGCTGAAGTTAGAGACCGTATTATCTGCACTGACTCCACTTACAGGATATATTGACAACCTTTTAACTCTTTATGAGCCAGAACGCAGTTTTATAGATGATCAGGGAAGAAAAGTTAATTAGTAAAGTTTGGTTTTGTTTCACAGTGCAGACTCAACACTAAAGGAGACTAAAGGAGATTCCTCTGTTGTGAATATAAGAATAAATAATTAAATACATAAATAAAAACAAAGATAATTTTGGTAATGAAAATGGCTATTTCTGTATTTATATTTATTTACACATTTATTGATCTATTTTTGCATTTATTTATTTATTAATTTTATTTATTTATTCATATATTTCTACATTTATTTATTTGTATATTTCTGTATTTATATTTTTATCTTTTTCATCTTTTAAATCCTTTTCTAAAAACATACTTTTATAATCATGCTTCTATGTGACTTTACACAATGTTTCCTGATTATCCTGTGATTTCTTTTATTTTTTCTTTTATTCTTAATATTTATTTTATTTGTGTGTTATGTTTTTAATCTCTTTTTAATAGTCTCTCTGATTGTTGGTGTGTTTTTGGATATATCTGTGTCCCTCATAAATTGCTGCTGTTTTTGTGTAAAGCACAAAGTAAAAAAGAAAACAGCTAAAACAAATAAAGTTATCATATAAAACAGAAAACTCTGCACACCAAATATCTCCCGTAGAAAATATTTATTTAGCAACAAACGTAATGAGGCTCTTCCTCAGACTTCAGATGCAAAACAGAGTCGCCATTTTAAATTTCTTAAGTATGAGCGTCTCTTTCATCAAGCTTATTGGTCTTGAATGTCTCCCTGCTGCTCCGACAGTCAACCACACGACGAATGAAGGAGACACTGACTGGAAAACAAGCAGAAGAGAGCAGCTTCTCTGCCTTGGAGGTCACTTTTTATTAAGATATAAAAGGTTAGTAACGTTCAAGTATTAACGTGTTCAGGGCTCGTGTTGTATTATGACACTTAACTCGTTGTTTTAAGCAGCTTAAAAGGCACCAAGCAACATGACAAACTCTAGTTTCCAGATCACAGATGAAGCTGTGCGCAAGTTATAAAATAAATAAAATGAACAACGGATTCTTTAAAAATATTAAATCACAACCAAAAGTACCACGTTCACTCAAAATCAACCATATCAGCAGCCCAACATCTCCAGGTATTTGTAGACATCCTCATGTCCACATTCAATGCCTCAGTTAGTGCAAACAACAACAAAACAACAACGCTGTCTCATTCTCGAAGTTCCAGCTTGCCGTCTCTGACTCGCCACCGCCAGCGCTGACACCGGTCGGGAGCAGGAACGCAGCGCAGCCACAGACAAGACTCCTTAATCTCCTGCTCGAAGGACACCATCTTCCGGTCCAGGGTCTCCAGAGTGAAGGCTTTCCCAGAGATCTGAAAGACCAATTCACAAGACTTGTTTGTAGTTTTGTAGGAAAGTTCAAAAATGGTCATATAAGTTACCATGTTTCGCTTTCTGCAGCGTCCTCAGGGATTTCACTACGGGTTTCCTTTAACTTGTGTTGACGTAGGTGAACTAAGGGAGCTAGGGGTCAAAATATAATTGATATTTAAGTCATTTTAATCAATTTCCAGGTGTTTCCATGACTCGTAAACTAGTCTTTAAACATCCAGGTTTTCCAGGACTCGTAGGAACCCTGCAAAGAGGAGGATTTAGGAGAACGCCCTAAAGCATACCCTGCTTTATGGTCTATTTTACTATAAATGGGACCATCATTTACTAAATGAACATCATGATGTATGAAAGAAGACTTGAAACTAGAGACTGAGACCATAAACTCATCAGGATACTGTTTACTGAGCTCATAAATCAACTGAGAAGTCGTCTCATTTCTCCATAAGACTGCATGGTGGCGCTGCCCCCTGCTGGCTGTTACATAGAATGCAGGTTTAAGACACTTCCTGGAAGCTCTGTCCGTTATTTAAACTGTCAGTGGTACTAACTAAAGACAAAATGTCGTGGGGGAAACTCACTCTGAACCATCCAAAAACTTTCAAACAACCAGTTTTGAGATCAATCAACTGTCTCCTACCTGATCACTGATCCCGATAGCAACGTGGCCCACCTTGACCTGCCGACGCTCACGTAGCCTCAGACACTCGCCCTGGACGTTCTCAATCCAGATGTCAACACCTGGAGCGTCAGAGCAACAAATAACAACAATAAAAACAGACAATCAACCAGCGTGCGACATAGTGATTCAGTCCCGCCGGCGTACCTTCGAAGCAATACGAGGACGGCTGATTCGCTGACGCCAACCACTCCAAGTGTCCGTCCGTCTGACTGTTGCAGGAGGAGAAGACTCCAGAGCTCAGATCATCAGACGAATGATCAGAGTCCTTAAAAATAAAGACACGTTTCAGGGTTATGATTTGATTTAAGTGCAGCACACATGCACCTGCGTATATATATATATACTCACTCTGTCTGAAGCGTCCATCTGTGACGTGTCCGAGCAGCTGAAACATGACGGAGGGTCGTCTCGTGGTTCAGGGGACGGGGTCTTGATCGTGGTGCCTATAGGTACATCTAGTGAGAGACATCAGCAGTTTCTGTTAGTACCAATCAACAAAGCTTTTCTCCCCAATGAAGGACAATACCAGTAGGTTTGTATCATGTTTTTAAACCATGCTAGAAGACAGCAATTTAGTCTCTTGGTCCGTCAAAGCTCCTGTATTTACATTCCCATTGACCCATAAGAGTCAGCGGAGGTGATGTGATTGATTTGTCTGCAGCAGGAAACAATGGCGGCTCGACTGGTCACACAGGATCTTGTATTACTCATTAAAAGAAACTTCCACAGATTAAGTGTTTCACTAGAGACCTCCAGATTACATATTAAAAGTAAATCATTACATACTACATAGAGGTGATTTCAAGGGCCTTCATGTCTCAGCGTCACATAAAGAAGTCTGTATCTCTGCTTCTAAATATGCTATTTTCATGTAATTTATGTCTATACATTAGTCGGTGTTCTTTCACAAACCTGTTCTAACCACTTACAATGACAGTTTGTACCTAGTTTAGATGCAGATACATCCATAAAAGGTCTTAGTACCTCAAAAACAATTATAAGACATTAGAATATCTTCTGAAAATGTGTTTTATTGGTAATATTGAGCCTAAAAACTTGCTGGATAGTTGTACATAGGCCCTTCAGTATTAAAACAACTTGTAGATGATGTTCCACTAAACCCATTGAGTTATACTTTCTAATATATGATGCAGGATGTTATTAGAACCATTAAAACTATGAACCATAACTTTCTCCTGGGTTTGGATCCCTGAGTTACATTGACTTTCACTCAGTAATCAGATCATAGCAGAGCACTCAGCTGCACTTCATTCATTACAGCCAGGACATTTATTTTTTGAGATACAGTGTCCTTAATAAAATCTTGTTGCAGCAGATTAAATAAATTGATCCTGGACACACTTTCTCTGACTCACCGTCTCTGAGGTATTCCAGCTCTGGTTCTGATCCCCATGAATCCTCATTTGTCTGTTGGCCCTTTTGCAGCAAAGGGAAAATTCCTCGGAGAGCTCGGAGATACTCTGTAGACACTGACGAGTCCCAGTCTTCCTCCTCCTCCTCCTCCTCCTCCTCCTCTTCACCTCCTTCCTCTTCCCAATCCCCCTCATAGTCCCTGTCAGTTTTCAGCCACCGTTCCTGGACGTAGTCCTCCTCTCCCATGTATATATCAACGTCAGAGTCAGACCAGGAGTCCCAGTCTGGCTCATCCTGCAGGGACTTCAGCCGGGACTCCCATTCACGAGCCTGGAAGTCTGTCTCCACCTCAGAGTGGTCAGAGTCACAGTCCTTCCAGTCGAAGCTGTCCTCGTCCACCGCTGTAGTCCTCCAGGGGCTCACCCAGTACATCGTGGGCGCTGAGCCGGCAGCTGATGGTTTCGTTGGGGTGTCAGGGATCCCGGGTGACAGGGAGCAGGGGGTCTCCTCAATCTGGTTCTTGCCACGATAGAGCTTCTCACAGGCACTTTTGACGGACCAGGGACTCAAACCTCCGACTGTGGAGCAAACGTTCATTTTTAGAGTGATGTGGATAATGTCACAATAATAAGGTACTTTATATTAAAGATGATTCCTGCCTGAAAAACACACAATTCTGTGTTTCTATGGACAATCACGTCTCATCAAAACTAAGTCCGGAGTGCCTCAGGGATCAATCCTGGGTCCTGTTTTGTTTCCATTATAGTTGCTCTTTTTTATATTATTCACTTTCATGGCATCTTCTGTCATTTTTATGCCGACGATGCGCAGCTATACCTTCCATTAAAGCCCACGGATATTAGTATGCTGCTCTAGTTTACATTGAAAAACATTTAAGACATTCTTATTATCGGTATATTTCTTATCGGGTATTGTAGCTAAAAAGCAAAACTTTTTTGATCAACTAAAGAACATAGCAGAGATCCCACTTACCCGAATCTTTGTTTTTAAAATTGGGATAAACAATAAATAAAAAAATAAATTATCGGCCAATAATGTGAAATCTGAGAGGATCTCCTTAACTGTGTCCTCTTTCAAATCACTTCTCAAATCGCACTTTTATTGTGTAGCTTAGCCAGACTTTTGTTAATTAAACTCCATCGTATTTTATCTATTAATTTAGCTGTCTTTAAGCCTTTCTTATTATTATTCTTGTATATATTCTTGCCATATTTTGTATTCATTGTACTGTTGTACTGGTTTCACAGCACTTTGTAATAACTAATAGTATGAAGATCTTTGTTCAGAAATGTGCTCTATAAATAAAGTTTCTTATTATTATAACAATAAATAACTTTTACATTATAAGATGATTGTCGGATATGTAACCCATCGACCTGCTCTGAGGGCCTTGGTGGTTTTCCTCCGGAGCTCCTTTGCTGAGGCTCGTCTGTCGGGGTCTTTCTGGAGTCCGGCCCTGAACACTTTGGCCGTGAAGTTGTTGCAGTTGGACGGCACCTCCCAGAGAGGCGGAGGCTCGTTGGCAATCTGACAAACAAGATGACAGGAAACATGAGAAAGCAGTAGTTTTTTTTACACTTCAGGGTGGAAGAAGTCCAACCAGTGATGCCAGAAGACTCACCTGGAGACACAGGGGATGGGAGTAGTAGCGTATCCATGGGTGGCATCCATTGAGCATGTGCAGTAGCATACAACAGCTGCTCCACACGTCCGCCTTGGCACACAGTCGATCCCCTCGTGCCACCTCGGGGGCCATGTGGGTCTCTGTGCCGGGGAAGGCAGCTCCTACATCCACAAATAGTCAATTAATGTGGTTTTAGCTCTTAATTACCTCGTCTTTTCCCCTGTTGCACATGATCCTGCTGCTGTTGTTCACACATACACTTAACTGGGAGGCTTTAGGCACACAGTTATATTTGCTGCTTCACTTTTTAGGTTTTTTAAGTAATGTTTTCGGTAAATTTAACATAATAAATGCAGAAGTCATTGTCTTTGTTCATCCTCTAGTCAAACAGACCATTGGAGGAAGATTCAGGCAGCAAATATATGACTTTTTAAGGATCAACAACCTGTTGAATCACAGCTGCTTTTGTATTTACTTAAAGCTGCAGTAAGTAACTTTTATAAAAATAATTATTGTCATTATTGCACTATATCCTGACAGTAGGACATGAGACATGAAAAATCAGGCTCATTCTAGTGCTCCTAGCAGGATTTGTGACATCACAATAGTTCAGGAAGTTACACTTGTGTGCAGCAGGAATATTTGCATATTTATAGATTCTTTAGTTTTTAATGAGATAGATTCTTTTTAATGTCAAAATTATACTTTTTTTGCAGAAATGAACATCAGACTGTTTTATATATGTCTGAGGGAATCTTTAAAGTTAATTTGTGTTACCAAATCCAATAATATGATCAATAATTGCTGATTTTTTACACTTTCTACTCACCCCTGAACGCCTTGGTGCTCTGTCCACTGTCATCTAATGTCTCTGAGAGACCAAAGTCACAGAGGAATGTGTCTCTGCAGTCTGCAGATAGCAGCACATTGTCAACTGGAATAAAATCAACACACAGGATTTAGTGAGACAGCTTGTTTTGATTCAGAGCTCATTATGAAACAGTTGACAGAGGAATCAGGAGGCTGTCAGAGGCTGTCAGACTGACGGGTACACGGCGGACAGAAGCAGCTCTTAAAGATGGCGCAAGGTAACGCCATCAAAAACAAAGCATGCACACCTTTTTCTTTCCACCTCTTTGTGAAGATCTGATGTGATGAGGCTGGTTAATTAGACGTATGTTGGCTGAGCGAGCAGTGAGGGGCCCGAATTTGAGCGAGCCCCCTTCTCCAGCTCAATCCTCTCAACGGGGATTATCGAGGGTTTAGGGGTGAGATGTCAGTTTGGGATTAGGTACCGACACTGGGGATGCTAGCTGACAGTAGCACCAGCAGCTAGAGGCTTTTCTGGGCTCCCCTCCCTCCGCGCAAGCACTATAATATAATATTGTACCAGGCAGGAAGAGATGGGACACTGTAAACAAGATGAATCCACATTTATGCAACTCTACAGCATTGAAAACTAATAAAAATACTGAATACTGAAGTGATTCAATGTTTCTGCAGAGGAATACCTGGAAAAAGAGCTTGGTGCTGCCTTTTCAACTCACACCCGTCAAAAGTTCAACTTAAATTGTTAAACACAGGCGTTTTTCATGTTTTCCTCCTGAAGATTTTACCTTCTTTACTCTCTTTTACTTCACAAGAAAGATCAAAAAAAGCCTCCAAACTCCTAATTCTTGGCTTAAAGACCTAATGTAGGATGTAAGATTAAGTACAGTATTAGAGGGCTGCTCCGATAACTTCAACAAAACGTGGGATCCTGTTCTTTACTTAATGTCAATTCTGACTCTTCTTTGGAAGATTAGTGTGATTTATTCAGTCAGTCAGAGCAGACAGATTTATCTTTATATGCAGGACTTTTTAATTTTGTGAGTTTCTCCCATATTTCCTGTGCGTTTAACGATGTAAAACTGGGTGACAATGTCATACTTACAGTTATATGTATGTCGTATATTGTCAACCCAATAAAGATATTTCAAATAAGTGATAAAACATTGAAAATATAAACCTGGTGTCAAACTAAAGATCACTTTTAAGGTCTGTTTAAAAGTAAAAGTAGTAATACACAAACATAAAGGTTCAAAATCACTAGTAAAGACCCTGAAGTGAAATCAAAAGTATATAAATATTATTATTTACATATAATAATGTCACATATTGATTGGTTTATGATTATTTTAATGACTTTATATTAGAAGATCAATCTATAAAAATGCATCATCCTTTAAAAACTGATGTTTGTATCTAAAGAGCTACTTTTGTGTGATTATATTCTTGCACAATATTCAGTTATATAATGTTGTTTTTTGTCTGTTGAACCTCTGTCCACACCCAACCTCTCAATTGGGAGTGCTATGACACATCAGAGCTGCACAGGATGTGGTTAAAGCAACCCGTGTTGGTGAAGGCGAAGCAGGAAGGAAACAGTATATACAGATGTGGAAGTATAGAAAGGCACTTAAAGCTGCATTAGTTGATGTATTTTTGGCCACTGGGGGGCAGCAGAGCACAACACTGACATATTTCCACCCATTAAAGTTGATACGGTGAGATTGTTAGCAACAATAGCCGTAAACCAACAACTAAAAGTCCAATATTCACTCTGACTATCTGAGTTTAGGGCTAAAACACAATTTTTACAGGATATTTGGTCTTTTTAAATCAATTTCCAGGTGTTCCCATGACTGGAAAACTCTAAATTCCAGGTTTTCCAGGCCGTGTGGGAAGTACCTTTGACATCCAAGTGAAGGACCTTTCTGTGGTGCAGGTGTTCTAGTGCTCCCAGTGACTGGTGAAGGTAGTGCAGGGCCAAATCCTCAGGTAGGGAGTCCATCTCTTTCAGGAGCTGGGCCAAACACGCTGAAGAGGTTTTGGTAATTAATTGAGTGATTAATTGGGTAATTAATTGGCTATAAGTGGTTAAATGATCACGAGAGAGTATTTGTGTTCTCACCTGGCTTCAGGTCCATGAAGAGCACGATGTTGAGGTTCTCCCTCACGGCCCCGAAGAGCTCCACGACGCGAGGAGAGTTGAGAGCGCTCCACGTGCTCACCTCCTCGCTGCTGAAGTGACTCAGTGGGATCTGACATCATCAAACAACAACAACAACAACATGTCAATAAGTTTTAATGTAACCATCAGTGTTCAGCAGCAGGAGGTTTTGGTTTTAAAAGAAGCTTTGGGTGGAGCATATCTTTAAAAAGTGACTCATTCTTTCTTGGCTTACCCTTTTGGCAGCACATTCGAATCCGGTCCCTTTATCCCGAACGCAGAACACGTCACCGTATGAGCCGTTCTGTATGTGATGAAGAATGTGGTACTCCTCTCCCTCCCTGTACTGACAACTGCTGGGCTGAAGTTGCTTCAGGATACAAGAGTACAGTAATTTTAACCCTTTAAGATCACATCCTCATTGATATTGTTTCCATATTTAACAATTTATGATGAGTAAACTGACTCAGTGACATATTTTATGGATATTTCATATTAAATTAAAAACTGTACAATGAACCCAAACGGTGAATCCAGTAACTGCAGGAAGTTTGTGTAAAACCAGAGATTTGGATGAATTTTGAGCAGATTATTTCCTGTTTAGGGAACTTTTTATACAATTCTCTGTCTGTATTATATA